TACTTTGGCCAACCTAATGAGAAGGAAGGACTCACTGGAGAAGAGCCTAATGCTGGGAAAGATTGAGGGCAAAAGAAGAAGGGGACGATAGAGAATGAAGTGGCTGGAGGGAGTCACTGAAGCAGTAGGCGAGCAGTAGGCGTGAGATTAAATGGACTCCAGAGGATGGTAGAGGACAGGAAGACCTGGAGGAACGTTGTCCATGGGGTCACGATGGGTCAGACACGATTTCGCATCTAACGACAAGCCAGCCCCACTGATGATGCCCCCCCCCCAAGGCTTTCAAGGGAACACATTTCTCCAATACGAGGAGCGCAGCCAACCCAACTGCAGGTCACGGTCGATGGTCTCTCCCTCTTCCAACCTCTCGCACGTCGTCCCAGCAGGTGTCTCCTGGCTCCCTCTCTCCCGGTCTCCTCGCCAGGATAACTGTAGTGAACTCCGGTCTCTTTCCAGCGCTGGTCGCTTCTTCTCCTTCCACGGTTCAGCGCACTGGTGAGCTGAGAGCTTGTCCCCCCGGAGTACCCACGCACTGTTCCTCCCTTGCAAGGTATTTTGAAGCTCACCAAGAAAAAACAAACTGCAGTGGGTTGCCACGTAAATCCCGTCTGTCTGGATCATTTAGCAAGTCCTTTTCCCGGTGGGCGGCTGACTGCGTCTTGCGCGGCCAGGTCGGGAGAAGAAGCCGATAACAACTCACAGCATCCTCCTTCTTTCCAAAAGAAAATCAAGCCTCCGATTCTCCCCAAGACTTTTTCCTTCCTTTTTTCCCCCCAGAGCTGCTTGGGTTCCCAGAGCCAGATTGACGGAAGAGGGCCCCCAAAGATCAGCGTTAGCCGCCCATTTTTAGCTCCTCTTGGTTTGTTGAATAAGCCACGACGCCTAGGTTTTTTGTTTTGCATCACACTAAACCATGAGAACCACGTTTTGCTCCATACAAAACTTTATGCTCGGAATTAGATTGACCCCCTGTGAAACCAGGCGTACAAAGTTATCGGATTTTTCTATTGCCGCCAAGCCGGGCCGTCAGTCGGTCATCATCGGTCGCGGTGGATAACGAAAACCAGGACGCTTTTCGTAGGAACCTGTCCTCAAATCCCCCTCCCCCCCCCGGCCCGGCTAGTTCTGCTCTGCTTTAGACAATCCGCATATAGACAGACACGCTGTCTTTCACCCGTTTGAATGAAAGTGCCAAAGGCATCCTGAAGTCCCAGGTTTTTGCGT